GCTCTTAGTCTCATTGATTTGGCTACCTTAGGGCTGCGTTCCCCGCGCCCACACGGTAGACAATGGGTGAATAAAATGGTTGATTCGGGGAAGACAGTGTCTCAGAAGGCTGAGACTTGTGATGAGAAGCCTCAGGTACAACTCAAGATCACAGTACAGACTGAGACACCTATTTTGCTTGACCCTTTAGAGGCTGAACTGCGGGCCCAGGAGGAGAAACTCCGCCAACAGGCCCAGGCAGTTGAGTCTCTAAAGGTTGAGCTGAAGAAGAAGGAAGAAGCAACTCAGAAGGAGGCTAGGAGAAAACTTATGATCGCAGATGTGGAGAAGGTGAGGACAAGTGGTAGTTCCAGTCAGTCCAACAAGGACATGGTTGAATTCATCCTCTTCCAGGATGATATTCACCGTTCTTACTTTACTAATTGGGATGACCGGAGAACCAGTCTGGAGAATAGCCACTCAACTTTTTCCAAGAAGCTGGATGACATTTCTGCCAAACTGGATCTGATCTTTAGTGACCTCAATATCCCTACCACTTCCTCTGCTCCTCCCTCTCTTGGACCCTCTCAAGGAAGACCCGCATCACCCCCACACTCTAGACCCTCATCTCCATCCTCTACACCTAAGTCAACAGCCCTTTCACAGCCCTCAGCACCATTTGATTTTCAGCGGCCTAAGCTGACACCTCCACCCATGTTCTCAGGTGAGGACACAAAGGTGGATGTTGCAGATTGGGTCACTGCACAAAGAACCTACCTGAGTGGGTTCAAATGTGACGAGGATGTGAAAATGTCTGCCATCCTTGCTCGCTTGGAGCGGAGTCCACTGAAATGGTGCACCTCCACCTCCAGCAAGCAAGGTATGGAGATGTCTGATTGGGCGCAAAGGTTGGGGGTGGCTGGATTTCTGCAGGCACTGCAGGATCGGTTTGCAGACAAGGAGCAGGCCAGGAAGGCAGCCGATAAAATTCTACGCCTGGGCCAGAAAAAGTTGGATGGCTCCTTGTCCAAACTGTACTCCACCT